CCTAGCCTACGCGGACGACGTCACCTTCCTCGGGGAGCTTTCGGCGTGCGTGGCTGCCTTTGAACACTTCATGGGCAATTCGGCGGAGATCGAGCTCCGCCACAACCCAGCAAAGTGCGGGGCTTGGTCCAGCGAGACGCCCCCGGACTGCCGCTTACCTGAAGGAGTTCCTCCCAGCAGCGACGGCCTGAAAGTATTGGGCAGTTACATTGGCACAGCACCAGCAACTTCAGATTTCGTACGTACCAGTCTGGCGGGAATGAGTGCGCCGCTAGACCTGATTGAGCGGATGGACCCGCAGCTTGCGGGACTGCTGCTCTCCCGGTGTATCTCCCGCCGGGTCTCCTACCTCGCCCGCACGACACCTCTGCCGTTCCTGCCCAAGGAGGAGTGGTCTAGCTGGGGGCGGCGGCTGCTGGAAACTCTCCTCACGGCGTGCGGGATTAGCCATCCGCGGGGTGACGAGGAGACGGCACGTGTTTGGGCACAAGCATCTCTCCCCGTGTCGCTTGGGGGACTTGGCCTAGCGGATCCCTCTGTGGAAGGGCGTTACAACTTCCTCGCCAGCTACACGCAGGCGCAGCTGCTGCTTGATTCCCTGGACACTGAAAGCATCGGCCCATTGGAAGGCACCCGCGGTCTGATGCGGGGCCCCTACACCCAGGCCTCCCCCCTGACCGAGTGGCTGGCGGAATGTGAAGAGGGGCTGCCTCTGCCGGCAATGGAGGTCCTGCAAACGGAACGAGCAGCCCCAGCAACAGGGAAGCTGCAGCATGGATTAGCCACCACTATCCAAGGCCAGCGGTACGCGATGAATGCTGTCCCTAATTGGTTATGGGGCGGGTGATTGGTTAAATGCCGTGCCAATTCACCAATCGCTTCGGCTCGACGCTCCTCATTATGCCAACGCCCTCCGGTTCCGGCTAGGGCTCCCCTTTGCTGCTCCGGGAGTGTGCAACTGCACGAAGAAGGTCGAGATCTTGAATAAGCGGCTGTCCAATCACCTGCTGCGGTGCGGTACAGGGGGGAGACGTACGAACACGCACAATGAACTCAGAAACGAGTGCGCGCGAATGGCGAGGGACGCCGGCTTCATGGTGCACATGGAATCAGCCGCCTTCAGCCCCGTGGAAGGGAAGAAGGCTGAACTAGCCCTCCGCGACTGCACCACTAGCGCAGTCTACATTTGCGATGTGACTGTAACGGATCCGATTAGCACCCGGGATGAGAATGCAACGAGAGGGCGGGGATGGGCAGCACGGGAAGCTGCGGATAAAAAGCACGGCCTTTACAAGGACCGCCCGGAGGGGGTCAAGTTCTTCCTGTCAGAATCCCAGTCACTAACCACTGGGATAAAAGGGCTTGTTTATATAGCGGGTGAGTGCGCCCATAACCCCCCAGGCCGACGTGCCTGTAACCCTTCCCTAGGATCATCGGGGATCCCCAGTGGACCTCTGACACCCCCCCGCACTGGGATGCCCGAAGTGCACACACCGGGAATCGAACCCGAGACCTTCGCTCTGATACCATGTCAGAATCCCAGTCACTAACCACTGGGATAAAAGGGCTTGTTTATATAGCGGGTGAGTGCGCCCATAACCCCCCAGGCCGACGTGCCTGTAACCCTTCCCTAGGATCATCGGGGATCCCCAGTGGACCTCTGACACTTCCCCCTCGCGGTCGAAACCTACGGGTGCCCTTGCCCCGAGACAGTGGACTTCCTGAAGTTACTTGCAGAATCGGCCGCACGGCGGTTTTTCAACGCCGAGCCTACCTCCTACCAAGCTGCCAAGCTCTTACACCAATATCGGCAGCGGTGGTCGGTGGCTCTTCAAAGGGGGCAGTCAGTCGGGTATCAAGAGAAATGCAACATCGCGGCGGCAGTTGAAAACCCGCTGCTTGAGGCGGTAGGAGAGGCCCCGTCACTTGGGGATTGCCTCACGGTCCTGGACCCCACCCCGGACCTCCCCTAGAGGGAGACACGGGGGGGGGGGGGGGGGGGGGGGGGGGGGGGTGACTGCGTTGCAAGAAGAGTAGGAGGCTTTGATTTGTGACGCCTGTTGCATGCCAATACCAATACCTTGCATGTGTGTACTCCACGATTATCAATGAAAGGGCCATTAGAGAGAGAGAGAGAGAGAGAGAGAGAGAGAGAGAGAGAGAGAGAGAGAGAGAGAGAGAGAGAGAGAGAGAGAGAGAGAGAGAGAGAGGAAAAAAAAACAAAACAAAACAAAACAAAAAAAAAAACAAACAAACAATACTTCGCTGCTGAGTTGATGACAAAGAGGTAGGGTGGGCCCAGTGGGGGTTTGAAATGGAATGGCATGGAAGGCGGAAATGGGAGGTGGGAAAGAGGAAAGCGCAAACTGCCTGCATGCATGCACACGCAACTCCCTAAGAGCAGTTTTTCAATTACTTTTTACAACGATTTGGTGACTCTGGCCGTGATGGCTTATCATGCACAGCCGAGGCACGGCACCTGTGAGGAGCTGAGGTGCCCGTACCTGTGATTCCCTCATTGTCGACCCACTGCTCCCACATACCAAGAAGCACAACAAACACCAAGGCGTGTTGGATCACAAACACATACCACTTGTAACCCCCAACCAAGAAGGTGGGATTGGAGAAAAGCTTCCTTTCTGCAACCTTGGAGAAATTGTCTATCTGCCAGCGAAAGGTCCTCGACAGGGCATCGTCCACTGCAACGGGAATGTAACAGGGGTGGAAGATGCAGACAAGGGGATAAGCATGCGGTGGCGCCTAAGAGGCTACTCGGAGAGGTGCAAGCCAGCCAGGACGCGAGAGGATTGTTCATAATCCGTGAAAAAAAATGCTTCGATTGCAGTAGATACAAGTTGAAACATGCGGAGAAGGCGAGGGAGGAAACCGTTCAGAGGGGAGGAGGAGAATGGGCGTAACGGGAGGAAAAGATACAGAAGCAAAGGGATAAAGTAACGAAATACGAAAAGAGGGAAGATGTGAAAGGGAACAAAAGGGAGGGGAAGCCCTTACTTAGGGCATCCTCATGTTATGTACAGCACAGCTTGAATGTGCAAGGCAAGGGAGGGGTTGAAGAGTGACGGGAATAGCACGAAGTAGCCGAGGAGGGAGGTGGGACCGAGGGAGGGAGGTGGAATCAGGGGAGGCAGGAGGCACCGAGGGAGAGTGAGGAAAAGAAAGGGGCGAGGACAAACGCTGGTTAGTGGATATGGAGAAGGGCGAAGCACGGCGCCTACCTGCCATAGCGTCTGGACTGATACAAACGAGTAGCTCCTTCGAGTTCCCTGTCACAGGAGGTGTCACTGAGGTGTTCTAGTAGGGTCGGGATCCTAAAACAGTACTATCAGCAGACAGTCTAAAAGCGGTCAGGAGAAAGCCTAAACGGCCTGGAGAACACCGAAGGCCGGGGGATAACTCCTCCACGGAACAGACGGGTGCAGAAATTGAAGTGCGGTAGAAAACTGGGAAGCGAGTGCCAATTGAGAGGCGCAAGCCGTTGGTGGAGAGGAGATTTTCCGCGCAGCACGTGCGTAAACGAGATGCTGCATGCAATGCATGCTGCAGAAATTAATGGCCGCCAGTTGGTCACCTAACGAGGCTGCTTTTACTACTCGACAGCTGTGCCAGGTATTACGTACAGCATACTGCGGGATTCCCACTACCACTAGGAAATGGTGCCGCTCCACCGTATTGCAAACCCGCGTCACCATGTCGCACATGGTACAAGCTGTCTTCAACCATCCATGCGCCATCCCGAGGTGACAGGCGGTGCTAGACCCGAAACCAATTCTTGACATTACTTCAGACGCTGCTACTTTCTTAAAGCCGAGTCCCTAGGTCGCAACCTTGCCGCTGGGCGAATTCGACGGTGACAGACAGCCATGACAACAGAGGGACGTCTTGACTTGAAGCGACGTGACTCCGCATTTGCATGGGACCTATGTCTGCTGCAGTAACGCGCTGTGATGAACCAAAGACCATTGGAAGCTGAAAATTTGGAACAGTCTGTTGTGCAAATGTGCAAAACTCCCAAGTGTAATGTACAATCTTTATGACGGCTACCCGTGTAGAGAGAATAGATGTTCCAAACCCACCCAAATCCCACCCGAAGCAGCAAGCAGAAACACGATCACAACACAACTCAGGCGACCCTTTTTGGGTTGCGTAGCAACCCTTTATATTTGGTTTCACATTTTGGGGATATCATTCGAAGAGTGTTATTTACGCACTCATTGGAGCACTCTTTTGAATCTTTTGAAACTGTGTTCAAACAGATGCTTCAAATAGTGGATAAAAAACTCTCTTGAATGAGATCCCCAAAACACGTAAGCACGTACGTATCATGTTGAAACCATGAACTTGCTTGACCGTCACAACCTCGTCGATAAATGCGGCGGATCATGCGGCCGAGCATAATATTCTGGCATCGACATGAACGAATGCATTTGTACAAATGAACAAGGTATGAGGTGGAGTGAATGCTTCAAAATGAATGTTAAAATGCATCACGCAGCAACAGAGGTTGATGGGGTCGTTGAAACAGCGAAAACACGCTGCCCCAAAGACGATTAACCACCTCTAATTGCATACATAACACATACTAACACCACACTTTGAAACACACATCCCACAAACACGAATGCAAACGCACGTAAGAAAAGTACAACCCAACCGAATGCATCGAAGTGCAACCCCACAGTGAAACAAACACAATGACAAGACATGAACACACACCCGCACAAACACACCCGCACCGCACACACATACATACACAAATAGGATTGAGAGCAGACAAGCATAACAAAGAGTTGCAATAAGTTAATTATGTATCAATCACTGCTACCTTGTCCGCCCCTTCCTCCCCCTTTCCGCCTTCCTTCCTCTCCCTCTACCATCGAAATCTCCTCCCACCCTTTTCCACATTGTCTTCTCTCTCGATCCCTCCCTGCTCCCCACAACGCGTCTCGCACACCTTGCAAAACAAACAGGTCAAGCAGAAAATGAATTGTAGTCGGAAAACGGAGTGAACTATTCGAGCACACACTTGATTGTGAAATGAAACTTGAAAGAAATATGATAAGTACAAAAGAACACCGCATTCGACGACTCACAAGCGTGGTTTGAAGCATAGATCCCCTGGGGTCACGCACACCACGCTGGTGTGCAGCAAGGCTCCAGCGAGCAAGGTGCCTTGGTGCAACGAGCTGGGCATCGCCATGCTACAAGGTGCGAGAGAGTTGCAGCAAGGCACTGGAAGAGGAGCAAGCGGGCTGCCGTAACAAGGCATGAGCTCACTGCAGCAAGGCGTGAGCTCACTGCAGCAAGGCGTGAGCTCACTGCAGCAAGGCGTGAGCTCACTGCAGCAACGCGTGAGCTCACTGCAGCAACGCGTGAGCTCACTGCAGCAACGCGTGAGCTCACTGCAGCAAGGCGTGAGCTCACTGCAGCAAGGCGTGAGCTCACTGCAGCAACGCGTGAGCTCACTGCAGCAATGCGTGAGCTCACTGCAGCAACGCGTGAGCTCACTGCAGCAAGGCGTGAGCTCACTGCAGCAAGGCGTGAGCTCACTGCAGCAAGGCGTGAGCTCACTGCAGCAAGGCGTGAGCTCACTGCAGCAAGGCGTGAGCTCACTGCAGCAACGCGTGAGCTCACTGCAGCAAGGCGTGAGCTCACTGCAGCAACGCGTGAGCTCACTGCAGCAAGGCGTGAGCTCACTGCAGCAACGCGTGAGCTCACTGCAGCAAGGCGTGAGCTCACTGCAGCAAGGCGTGAGCTCACTGCAGCAAGGCGTGAGCTCACTGCAGCAAGGCGTGAGCTCACTGCAGCAACGCGTGAGCTCACTGCAGCAACGCGTGAGCTCACTGCAGCAACGCGTGAGCTCACTGCAGCAACGCGTGAGCTCACTGCAGCAACGCGTGAGCTCACTGCAGCAACGCGTGAGCTCACTGCAGCAACGCGTGAGCTCACTGCAGCAACGCGTGAGCTCACTGCAGCAACGCGTGAGCTCACTGCAGCAAGGCGTGAGCTCACTGCAGCAACGCGTGAGCTCACTGCAGCAACGCGTGAGCTCACTGCAGCGAGCTCACTGCAGCAACGCGTGAGCTCACTGCAGCAACGCGTGAGCTCACTGCAGCAACGCGTGAGCTCACTGCAGCAACGCGTGAGCGTGTGCACAAATTTACCAGCGCGCTGCCGCAACAAGGCTGCCGCAGGAATTTGCCAGCGCCGCAAACAAGGCAGCAGCGCACAAGCCACCAGCACGCTACAAGGTGCCAGCGCGCTGCGAGGGCACCTGCAGGGCGCCAAACGTAAGGCGCCAGCGCGTAAGGCGCCAAAGCGTTAGGCGCCAGTGGGTAAGGCGCCAGCGCATTAGGCGCCAGCGCGTTGGGTGCCAGCGCGTAAGGCGCCAGCGCGTTAGGCGCCAACGCGCTAGGCGCCTGCGCATTAGGCGCCAGCGCGCTAGGCGCCGGCTCGTTAGGCACCAGCGGGCTATGCGCCAGCGCGCTAGGCGCCAACGCGTTTGGCGCCAGCGCGTTTGGCGCCAGCGCGTTAGGCGCCAGCGCAGCAAGCGCCAGCGCGCTAGGCGCTAGCGCGTTAGGCGCCAGCGCTCTAGGCGCCTGCGCATTAGGCGCCAGCGCGCTAGGCGCCAGCGCGTTTGGCACCAGCGCGTTAGGCGCCAGCGCAGCAAGCGCCAGCGCGTTAGGCGCCAGCGCTCTAGGCGCCTGCGCATTAGGCGCCAGCGCGCTAGGAACCAGCGCGCTATGCGCCAACGCGCTAGGCGCCAGCGCAGCAAGCGCCAGCGCGCTAGGCGCTAGCGCGTTAGGCGCCAGCGCTCTAGGTGCCTGCGCGTTAGGCGCCAGTGGGCTAGGCGCCAGCGCGTCAGGCGCCAGCCCGTTAGGCGCCAACGCGCTATGCGCCTGCGTGCTCGCTCCCGTGCGCACACACTCCCTCACACTCCCTCTCTCCCCTTCTTAAAATGGAGGCACAATGCTAAGAGGAGACCAATTGGCATTGAGAACTTACGAGGAAAGTGGACATTTCGGAGAGAGTAGCAAACACACCTGAGACAACCGTGCCTAAGAAAACAACGCGTGGTCGTGCAGCAACCCACCAAAGGCGACGGCGGGAAGGGAGGGAGAGGCGACGAGGAGGAGGAAGGGAGAGCGACGGCGGGGAGGGAGGGAGAGGCGACGGTGGGGGGTGAGGTGAGGCGACGGCCGGGAGTGAGGGAGAGGTGACGGCAAGGTGGTTCCAACAAAACGAGTGGGAAGGTATTTGGGGTGGGAAGATAAGGGGAGATCAGAGTCGAGCAGGTGCTTGAATTCAAGAAACGGGACTCCCAAGGGAGCAGATTTGACAGTGGGGAAAGGTTTGGTTGGGTTTGTGTAGCGCTGGCAAGAAAATTTTCTGCCGAGGCACGAACCAGTTTTCACAATCGAAATACACCAGTTCCTTAATACTCGCCAAAATCAAGAAAGTTGTAGATGATTATTTTTAGCCGTTTGTGACGGGAAAATATGCCGTTCGTAACGAAAATGGGACTCGGAGACATTTTTGGTAAAAAAAAATAAAGGGTACGGTCACTGCAAAGGGTGTTTTCACGCGACTGATAAAACGTTTCACGGAATCAGTCACTATTAACTGGTAAGAAATCACGCGAATGGTCACAGATGAAACTCCCGCCAAAAAATATAACCCAAATGGAACCTGGATTCATTTTCGGACGAATCAACCCTAAACACGTAAATCGCCAGGTGTTTAGGGTTGATCCGTTCCCAAACCGCATCCGATTCTCATTGGGTTTTAGTTTTGTTAGAACTTAGCAGATTGGTGTTAGAATGGACTAAGCTACTAGCGGAAGCTTTAGTAGTCTTAGAACTTCCTCCTAAAGCCTAGGAATTTTAAGAGCCTACTTGGACATGAACCATGCTAGAACCAAAGTGGTTTCCAAGAAGTGAAGTTCCAACAAGAGAGAACCCTAACCTATAGGGTTTGGGAGGTGGTCCACTCTAAAGAGTGTACACCACAAGTTCTCCCAACCCAACCAATGTATTCTACACTACTATAGTGTAGATGTATCACTACATATGTTTATTGGAGCAACCCGAATTAACCTTAATTCCAACATCCCCTCTTGCTCCAATAAGCATTAAAGTTCACCTTTAAATCAAAACACAACCCCTCCAGCGAATGAAGCCTTGGCCTTCGCAGCCATCACTCGCATGCCGATGCGCTCCAAGTTCTCATGCAGCTGCAAGCTTGGGAGAGCTTTGGTGAGCATGTCGGCATCCTGGAGGTGGGAGCGTGCTGAGTGCACCTCGACCTCTTGCTGGCGCACCGCATCCCGTACAAAGTGCCATGCCACCTTAATGTGCTTGGTGCGCTGATGGAGAACGGGATTGTGGGCAAGGGAGACAGCAGCCTCATTATCACAGAGCAGTGGAATAGCCCCCCCATCCCCCACATGCATCTCTGCCAACAAACTCCTCAACCAAATGGCCTCCTTGGCCCCCTCCGATAGAGCTTTGTACTCAGCTTCAGAAACGCTTGATGCAACACTGTCTTGCTTTTTGCTATACCAGCTGATTGCTCCTCCTCCTAGCTTAAAATGTAGGCAGAGCGACTCTTGCCATCAGTCTCACCACCCCAATCGGAGTCTGTGTACCCAACAACCTGCTCACCACCTTGGCGCTCATACCTGATGACACGATCAGCTGTGTCGACCAAGTACCTGAGTGCTCTCAGTGCAGCGCGCATGTGAATGCGTCTTGGTGCCACGCAGGACTGTGCAAGGGTGTTGACAGTGAAAGACATGTCAGGACGGGTGGTCACAGCAGCATACATCAAGCTGCCAATGAGACTCTGGTACACCTTGACATCAGCTGCAACACCTTCCTCAGTCGACCAAGTACCATTCCTGATCTTAGAGAGATCATTGGGTGACATTGGAGTATGCACCCTATGGGTCTCCTTCAGCAGATCACCAAACCTTCCCTGAAGACTACGGACATACTTCTCCTGACCAATCTCCAACCACCCATCCTTGACCAACCTGCGAACCTCCACACCAAGGTACGTGGATACCTCACCTAGATCCTTCATCTGGTACCTCTGAGCAAGCACCTCCTTGACCTGACCGATCAGCTCCAAGCGTGGAGACACAAGCAAGAGGTCATCCACGTACACCAATACATACACTGGCTCTTCATCCACAAACCTGATGTACAGAGCCTCATCACATGCACTGCGGTCAAACCCTGCTGCAATCAGGGTAGTACCAATCTCCTCATTCCAAGCACGAGGCGCTTGCTTGAGCCCATAGAGAGCTTTGCGCAAGCGATACACCCTGCCTGTACCATCATCAAATCCCTCAGGTTGCCTCACATACACCTCCTTTTGAAGAACTGCATTGAGGTAAGCATGATCAACATCCTCCTGTTGTACATGCCACCCTTTTACCGCGGCTTCTGCAAGAAGCACCCGACCTGAGGTGAGCTTGCCCACTGGGGCAAATACCTGATCATAGTCCTTCTCGGGCTCCTGAGTGTACCCCTTAGCAACAAGGCGAACCTTGTGCTGTACCACCTTATCCTCCTTGTCAGTTTTCCTGCGGAAAACGTACCTGACCCCAAGGGCCTTCTTACCTGGAGGTAAGTCGACCGGCTCTGGATCCCATACACCCATAGTGCGCATTGCATTTACCTCCTTCTCAGCGCCTGCCTTCCACGCAGGGCCCTCGGGGCCACGCAGGGCCTCAGCGAGTGTGCGTGGGACATCACCGGTGCTCACACCTACCAGTGCAACACCTTCCACCTCCCTGGCCAAACACAGCATGCCCTCAACCACACCAGCATCCCCCCCTACCTCCTCACCACCTGTACCAAACGGGATACCAAGCACCTGCAAACCCGTAACCGGTGGTGGGGAGGTAGTCGCTGGTGACGGAGGGGCACCCGTAGAGAGAGGGACAGAGCGCTGATCAGAGGAGGAGGAAGAGGAAGTAGCCTGTGTAGCGGATCTCCGCTGAATGACCGAGGGGCCACTGAGCTGCTGCAGAGGGGTGGGCTGCTGCTGCACCGACACACTCAGCGGTGCCGGTGGCAGTGATGAAGGTGGCATCTCAACATCGTCAACCGTTGCTGAGGGTGGAGAGAGTGGAAGAGGGAGGAGTTGGGAATGCGCATGAGAGAAGGGTCCAGCATGCGCCAACCCTTGCTCTCCATGTCCACCCCAACACAGACACACATGACAGCCCGTGCATCAAGCTTGCCACCCTTCTCATGCCCATGCAGCATGACACTCCCCATGCAACCCCCAAATCCGAGCCATGCCCACATGCGGCTTCTGGCCGGACCACGCCTCCATTGGTGTGATGGAGGCAGGCAAAGCACTGTGGGTGACCCTGTTCTTAACCCACACGACCCACATCAATGCTTCACCCCACAAGCGAGCAGGGAGACCACTGTCGACCAACAATGTGCGAATCCCCTCTGCCATTGTCATGTGCCACCTCTCCACGACCCCATTCTGCTGCGGTGTATCTGCGACACTCAATTGGGTTTTGATGCCAAACTCCGCTTTCCATGCTTTCACAGCGTCCTCCAAGAACTCGCCACCCCTGTCGGAGCGAACAGCCTTCAGCTTCTGCCCACACTCCAACTCCACGTCCTTATGCCATTGGCGAAGGACTTTTGCGACGGTGGCCGATTCCTTGTTGGGGAGTGGGAACGACCAAACTCGTCTGGTGAAGTCGTCAATGAGACTGAGGACATACACCGCTCCTCCCAGTGACGGTGTGCGCACTGGCCCCCACAAATCCATGTGGACCTCATCCAAAGGCCCAAGTGCCCGAGACGCCTCGTGGGGAAACGGCTTCCGAGCCGACTTTCCCAGTAAGCAAGGCTCACATGGGGAGCAATCAGTGCTCCCCCCCCGATCTCCAAGCCCAGTACACTGTTCTCCCGAGCCATCTGTTGCAATTTTGTGGGGGCGGTGTGACCAAGGCGGCGATGAGCAAGGGTCAATGGGGAAAATGAGGAGGAGGACCCAGCTGCAAGAGCACTGCCTTGTGTGCCCCGAGCAAGAGGAAGAGACATCCGCACCAATCCATGGTCCCTGCCCCTCTCCTTTTCTCCAATCGCCAACACCCTCCCCCCCCGTTTAAGAACACATTTCTTGCCCTTGAATGTGACAATGACATCTCGAGAGGTGAGGTGTGGGACTGACAGCAGACGCGTGTGCATCTCAGGCACAAGGTGGACCTTTTGAATCCTCAGCAGCTGACCTCCAGCACCAACCACTGGCACCTCACCCATGCCAACAGCTTTCACCACCCGTCCATCTCCCAATCTAACTCCCCGAACCTCTGGTGGCTGAAGCTTACTTTTGAAGTCCGATGCATAAGGAGTAAAGTTGTGGCTGGCCCCACTGTCAATCCACCACCCCTCTCGCGGCTGCTCCTCTCCCACTGCTGCAACTGCCTCTCCAACCACTGCCTCTGCCTTGTCATCCTGCTCCTCCTCATCCGCCACCTGTGCCTTGCCGTTGGATCCACGACCCCCCCGCTTTAAGAATGCCGGAATGCTTCCCTTAGATCGATGAGGACATCGCTGCCATGCATGTCCCTCATCCCAACAGCCATGACACAACCCCCGATGAGCCATGCCCTTGGATCCCCAGGGGAAATCAAGCACTCTCGCTTTGCCTTTTCCTTGACCCCATTTGCCCGAGTTGGTGTCACTGCTGCTACCGCTGCCTCCATGCTTTCCTCCCTTGTCCCAATTTCCCCTGCCGCTGCTGCCCACTTTCGTACCCGCTCCAAAAGTGGCTACACCATCCGATCTTGGTGCGACACCAATCCGCATCTCCTCACTCCTCAAGGAGGTAAGCAGCTGATCCTTAGTAAGCGATGGTGATTGGTTGTTCAGCACTACCTTCAGCATCTCAAAGTGAGGAGGTAGTCCTTTGAGTACCCTCATCATCCACTCCTCAACCTCCTCCTTCCCTCCTGCAGCCAAGTACTTGGACCTCAAGTCCTCGGCACGCGCCCAGTATGCAGCCACTCCCTCCCCTTCTTTCATCTTCAAGGAAGAGAGTTCCTCAGAGAGTGCCATCCGGTTACACAATCCACGCTGAAGGTAGAACTCCTTCACTCGTGTGTATGCCGCTGCTGTGCCTGCAGGAACTCGAGTGACCGCTCTTGCTCCGCCATCAACAGGTGCGTTTCCCAACTCGGTCTTGCCGCCGAACTCCCGCACCAAACGAATCAACTCAACTGGCACCAAGGCATTGCAGAATTGGGCAAATGCCTTCTGATTTCTCCTCTCCCACTTTAGCCGTGCGTCACCCGATGCAGGCCGCTCCTCCGAACCATCAAAGTACCCCCATAGATCGTGTGCCTCCGCCCATTGCTCGAATCGGAAACTCCAAGTCCAATAGTCGCTCCCGTCGAACTTTGGCGCACTCTCCAGCTTCCCTTCGCCTGAGTCATGATCCATTTGCGGCAGGAGCACTGAAGATTGACGTTGAGGTGGTGGTGGAGGCAACGGCGGTGACGGTGAAGATGATGAAGGCAGATTCACACCCTCTTGGTTATTAGAGTGTAACTCCGTGCTCGAACGTCCGAATGATGAGCTGTTTGGCTCAGGTGAATCCTTGCTCCGAGACCGTTCCGGTAATGTATCGCGCTCCTGGATCCCGCGTCCGAGCTGGCCGCTTAAACTCGTCGAATTTGGCCGATTTCCCGTCGACGAAGACTCGACCGTTTCTCCCGATTTTTGGCTTGTTGGATGCGCCCTGGCCTCCTCTGTTGGCGTCTGCCCTCCAATCTTTTTTCCGCGCTTTAAATCTTCCCCGATTCGCGATTTTCCAATTCGTCTGCCGGCTGTATTTCGCGAATTGCGTCCGATCCGCTCGTCGATTGGCAGCGACCCCGGGGCAATTGTTGTAGATCGTGCTGAGGCCTTTCCAATGGTATGCTGCACGTCTTGATCAGCCAAAGTTGACTGAGCGCCTCCGTGAATGGATGTCGCTCTTCTCGTCCTCCCGAACGGATCCACACGATTTCCAGCAGTTTTCTTCTCTCCTCCTCCCCCCACACGTCCAGAGTCCGCCACGGTGCAATTTCGGCAGCCCTTCGGGAGGGATGGAAGCTATTTAGCTTCCACCAATGTGTTATGATCAAATTTCTTGAGTAGCTCCTATTCCAACAGATTGCTAGGCCTTCCTAGCTCTGATACCATGTTAGAATGGACTAAGCTACTAGCGGAAGCTTTAGTAGTCTTAGAACTTCCTCGTAAAGCCTAGGAATCTTAAGAGCCTACTTGGACATGAACCATGCTAGAACCAAAGTGGTTTCCAAGAAGTGAAGTTCCAACAAGAGAGAACCCTAACCTATAGGATTTGGGAGGTGGTCCACTCTATAGAGTGTACACCACAAGTTCTTATCAAGAAGGCTAGGCAAGAATGATTGAAAGGAGAGGGGTTTCACTAGCAGCAGTTGGGGTACATATAGCAAACCCTAACTGGGTTGTACTCGCTATAGAGCACCCCACTACAGGCTAGACAATAATAACATTCTGACACACCCCCATAGCCAAAGTGGGGTGTAATCAGTACAATGAGCAGGCATAGCAATAGTTCACAATTATAAGCAAAGCTAGAGGTGATCATAGAGGGCAAGTGAGGAGGAGGAGAGACTGTGAGGGCGAGAAGATGAAAGGCGCTGACTGAAGCTGCAGACACACGGGCAACAGGAGCGGCGCGCACAGTGGCTACCGAGCGCACGAAGGGACCGGACTACGGGAGTATCTGGCTCCGCGGCTACGACGAGCACACACAGGAGCAACGGACCCACAGGCGACTGGCGAAGCAGGCTCGCTGGGCTACCGAAACGCGCGAGGGCATCCGGACTACTGGCGCTGCTGGCGTCACGACGGCTACCTCCACGCAACCTCCCCCGACCGTCCCACGCCCCTCTCACACACCCCCTGCTGAAACCCTAGCTCCACATCCACGGCACCCCCCTTAAACCCTAAACCCTCGGCTCCCACACACCCACCCCCCTCAGCGGCAGCTGCAGCAGTGGGAGACGGAGGAGGAGGAGGAGCCGCAGGTTACCCACACCGGTCACCCCCATGCCCGCCACCCCCAAACCCTAACGCAGGCAGGAGCGCGGGAAACAGCAGGGGCGGGGCACGGAGGGAAAGGGAGGCGGCGGGGTGGCTCTTGGGCGCCACGAAGAAGCAGGGCGCGGGCCCCCCGAGGGCGCCACGGCGGGTGACGGGAGGGGGGCCGCGCACGGGCCCCCGAGGGCGGCTCGACGGGCGACGGGAGGGGCCGCGCGCGGGCCCCCTAGGCGCCGCGACGAGGCGACGGGAGGGGGCGGCGCGCGGGCCCCCAAGGTGCCGCGACGAGGCGACGGGAGGGGGGGGACGCGCGGGCCCCCAGGGCGCCGCGACGAGGCGACGGGAGGAGGACGACGGGGGGCAGCGCGCAGGTCCCCGGGGGCGCCACGACGGGCAGGAAACCGCCGCGCGCCTCGGGGCGCACGGCGGGCAGAAAACCGCCGTACGCCCTGAGCGCACGGCAGGAAGAAGACGGCGCGCGCCCGAGGCGTGCGAGAAGCAGAATAGCAGCGGAAGCAGTTAGGTGGCGGGCCCACCCACAGGATCGACCCAAGGGGGTCGACCTGCTCTGATAGCATGTCAAGAAGGCTAGGCAAGAATGATTGAAAGGAGAGGGGTTTCACTAGCAGCAGTTGGGGTACATATAGCAAACCCTAACTGGGTTGTACTCGCTATAGAGCACCCCACTACAGGCTAGACAATAATAACATTCTGACAGTTCTCCCAACCCAACCAATGTATTCTACACTACTATAGTGTAGATGTATCACTACATATGTTTATTGGAGCAACCCGAATTAACCTTAATTCCAACAATTGGTTGGGCGCGAGTGAGAAATTTTTAGCGCGATTGGTTTAGGGCGCGAGTTATATGTGTGACCATTCGCGTGATTTTTTTCCTGTTGTTAGTGACTGAGCCCGTGACCCCTCTTACCAAACCCATCAACAAACCCGATACAGTGACTGTACGCGTTATTTTTTTACCATTCGTGTTATCGAGTCCCATTTTGGTTACTTGTAACATATTTTCCCGTTTGCGACACATAAGATTTGGCTGCAAATACACAAACTCACTAGAAAACAATATTGCTTAGGAAAACAAAAATACTTATATTCTTTAAATATTTTGCCATTAACAACAATCAGTGGTAGTGATAAATTACCATAACCAATAATGAAATAAAAATCTTAACAAAAAAATATACCATAAATAAACTATCAAGCAGTTCATAATGTCTTAAAACGAGAGTGCAAAATAGTGAACCCCGACCCACCTTGAAAAAGTGGTGCGACGAGTTTCTCGTAGAGAAAGGGATCGGGCTGACACACCACGGTCCAAACAATTTCACTAGGCAACGTGAACTTACGTGATTGGCCCTCGAAACGGTGGTTCCCGCCAAAATATTTTTTTTTTTATGCAGATCTACTCCGTCGCACGTCCACGTGTTGCGCCTGTGCGACTGTTCCCCAGCGTAGGTTTCCATCGTTGGCCCAAGGTCGGCTTCAAGTTGGAACTGGGTTCACAACTAGCTGCTCTCCAATCCCGAAGTCACTAGTTTTATTTTCCTAGCATAGTTTGCTGAGAAGCAAGCTGTTTGTGGCCAAGGTACCTAACTATCGACATAGTTGGAATGCGTAATGTAGTTACGTAGCTTCGTATCGTATTTTTATTTCCCCTCTCTCGCCATCGTCACCCTCCTCTTCATCGTCGGCCCCTCTCGTTCACCCCTCGACGTCCGTTTCTACCGCCGCTCATCACGGTACTCCCTTCCAATCACCCACATCGCCGCCCTCGCGCTTGCCATGACATGCCCTCCCGTCGACCTACCTTTCTCCCATCCCATCACCCATCTCGTCGCCCTTGCGCTCTCTCTGAAATGCCCTTTCGCCGCTCATGATCCGTCCCTTCCCTTCTCGTCGCTCCGCTCTTTCCCCTCCCTTCCCGTCGCCCTCACTCTCTCCCCTCCCTTTTCGACGTTCTCGCTCTCGCCCTCCCTTCTTTTTGTTCTCGGTCTATCCCCTCCCTACTCGTCGCTCTCGCTCTCTCCCCTCCCTTTCCGTCGATCTCGCTCTCTCCCCTCCCTTGCAATCGCCATCTTACCTCCCGTCCCATCGCCCTTGATGTTCCTTCTTAATCATTAGATGATAATAACTTACCTAGCAAATAGATGTTCTCTTTCAAAAAATATTTCCCCCCCGTTCCCGTCGCCCTCGCTCGCTCCTCTTCCTTCCCCTCTCCTTTGCGCGCTCCCCCGTACCTTCCCGTCGCCATCGCTCTCTTCTCTCCCGCCCCATGTCCTTCGTTCTCTTCCCTCCCTTCCCGTCGACATCGCTCTCTCCTCTCCCGCCCCATGTCCTTCGTTCTCTTCCCTCCCTTCCCGTCGCCATCGCTCTCTTCTCTCCCGCCCCATGTCCTTCGTTCTCTTCCCTCCCTTCCGTCGCCATCGCTCTCTTCTCTCCCGCCCCTTGTCCTTCGTTCTCTTCCCTCCCTTCCCGTCGCAATCGCTCTCTCCTCTCCCGCCCCATGTCCTTCGTTCTCTTCCCTCCCTTCCCGTCGCCATCGCTCTCTTCTCTCCCGCCCCTTGTCCTTCGTTCTCTTCCCTCCCTTCCCGTCGCAATCGCTCTCTCCTCTCCCGCCCCATGTCCTTCGTTCTCTTCCCTCCCTTCCCGTCGCAATCGCTCTCTCCTCTCCCGCCCCATGTCCTTCGTTCTCTTCCCTCCCTTCCGTCGCGATCGCTCTCTCCTCTCCCGCCCCATGTCCTTTGTTCTCTTCCCTCCCTTCCCGTCGCCATCGCTCTCTCCTCTCCCGCCCCATTTCCTTCGCGCTCTCCCCTCCCTTCCCGTTGCTGTCGCTCTCTCGTCCCCCACCCAATCTCCCCTCCCATCGGCCAATCCGTCACACTCGCGCTCGCTCTGACCCGCCCTCCCCGCGCCGTTCGTATATCCCCTCGAATCACCCACCTCGCCGTCCTTGCGTTCGCCCCGAAATGCCTGCCCGTCGCCTTTCGTAATTCTCTTCCCATCGTCGCTCTCGCGCTCTCCTCGAACTGCCCTCCCGTCGCACTTCTCTCCCCTCCGATCACCCATCTCATCGCCCTCGCGCTATTCCTCACGTCTCCCTCCCATCACCCTACCATTCCGTGATTTTGCGCACTCATTTCTCTCTCCGCGTCCTTGTTTCCGTCGCCCCATCTCTCTCTCTTATCTCGTCACCTTGAATCTCTTTGTTATTTTCCTCTTTGGTTTTCTATGTTGTGATCGCAGGCTTAGCAGGCCCATGCCAAAAGCATTTGCTGTGCGTGAATTGCTCATGCTGCACTTGTTGAAATTGGCACGGCATGTGCATGTGATTTGCACGTCGCAAACTTGCGACACAATTGCATATGCTTGCGATGATTGATGAAATTTTGTGAAAGACTCGATTAGTGTTTCTCGCGTCTGAACAAAAATTACGGAACAACACTTCCAACTTCCCAAAGTGAGTACGAGATTTCAAGTGGACCCAACTAGAAGGGGGGGTCACTATTTTAGCTGCTGGCTTTAACACGAAAAATTTGTCCTACGCAACCCTCCCGACGTTAACGTCGAGCCTTGTTGTTCTTCAACGGCAGATCGGGGGTGGCCGTACCTAGTCTCCTAAATCCGTAACTTGGGATTCTCATTCATCTTTACCAGCAAGTACGACCTTCCCGTAGCCTCGGAAAGTCGTCGTTTTTGCAGCAAAACGTGTGAATCACCAACTGTAGCCAGTTCTGGACAATCCCAGTTCGCCATTCGTTTAGATGAGCCGTCAAGGTCATCGAGTTTCTGTTTTCCTCATTGTAACTTCGCAGAAACCAGTTCATCCCGTACTGGCCAAACTCCAGTGACTTTGAAAGTCCGCGGCGATCCGCGTCGCACGGGTCAATCACGATGACGCTGAAGGCAACCATTGCGGTGTGGGCCCGTCGCGTGTGCGACCCGCGCGACACCAAGGCGGCGTGGGTCGTCGCACGGCTGCTTCTGATCGCAGAGGCGGTGCTGTGCTCCGCGATCATCGCCAAAGTTCCCTGTGCGTCTCGTCGTTGCCTCGTCATTTCCTCCTGGTTGCTGCTCCCCGTCAATACCGCTCACCGTCCCCGTCAATACCGCTCACCGTCCCCACATCCCGCAATTATCGCCAAAGTCCCCTGTTCGTCCTCGCCATTGCGTCGTCATTTCCCCATCATTACCGCTCACTGTGTGTCATTCCCCGTCACTGCCTCTTTCACAGCTCCTGTGCTCCGCGATTATCGCCAGAGTCTCCTGTGCGTCTCGCCATTGCCACTCGCCCGCCATCGTCACTCCCCCGCCGTCACTGTCGTCTTCCAAACCACACTTCTTCCATTCATCCTGCTTGTATGACCCACCCCGCTTGGTCCCATGCACCCTCTTGCCCCACCCCCCAGACACCAAGATAGACTGGGATGCGAACATGGCGCAGGTCACAGGCTTCCAGCACGGCGAACGGGACTACACCAAGCTGGAGGGCAGAAGACACAGTCCCTCTTGTGTACCCTGCCAGTTCTACCTTGTAGGCAGTTCAAACCACGCTGCTGCTCTCATCCACCCGCCCCCTTGTTCCCCACCACCAGACACCAAGATAGACTGGGATGCGTACATGGCGCAGGTCACGGGCTTTCAGCACGGCGAGCGGGATTACACCAAGCTGGAAGGCGATACGGGGCCTCTCGTCTACCCTGCTGGCTTCCTCCTATCCTTCTCTGCCCTCAAATGGGTCACCGGGGGGCTTGTTGCCAACGCCCAGGTGAGTTCCTGGAAGGTCAGGTAGGTTCTTGGAACCTCCACAGAAACACGGGACTTCTTGTCTTCCCTGCTGGCTTCCTCCTCTCCTTCTCTGCCCTTAAATGGATCAGCGGAGGGCTTGTTGCAAACGCTCAGGCAAGTTCCTGGAAGCTCAGGTGGGTTCCTGAAAGCTTGAATGAGACACAGGCCCTCTCGTCCACTCTGCCGGGTTCCTCCTCTCCTTCTCTGCCCTCAAGTGGATCACCGGAGGGGTTGTTGCCAACGCCCAGGTGGGTCCCTGGCGAGGCCCCATTTGGTCTACCCTGCCGGCGTCCTCCTATCCTTCTCCGCTCTCAAATGGATCACTGTAGAGCGTTGATTGCCAACGCTCAGGGTACCTTTTGAGTCGACTCAAAAGTCACCTTGATTGCCAACTCTCAGGTTACGTGGAAGCTGGGCGAGGCACGGGCCCTCTGGTCTACCCTCCGGCTTTCTCCTTCTCTTCTCTGAAACGGATCACTGGGGTGATTGTGGCAAACACTCAGGTAGTTTCCTCGAAGCTCAGGTAGATTTCTAGAAGCTCAGGTGCACGTGGCTTTCCCTTCTCCCCTGTCTCACAATCTCTTCAGCCTTTCAGCCTTTCTCACAATCTCCACCTTCTCATCTCTCCTGTCTCTCCCCTCCCTCTCACAGTTCTTTTTTTGTCCTTCACTCATAGCTAGAAGAGCAGCAGTGTGTGAAAAGACGCTTAAGCTGAAGGATCGACTTTTGAGGCACCTCAAAAGCCCTCTCTTAGTTCCCCTTTTGTTCGTCTCTCTGCCGTCTCTCTGCCGTCTCTTCTTGTACTTTCCTCTCCTCCACTGCAGGTGGCCTTCCTCGTCCTCTATCTCATTAACCTCCTCATGGTCTTCGCCATCTATATTCGCACACAGGCGGTAAGAAACGATCCACTTGCTGTCGTGCGATGAGGTGTGTGGTTGACTCATGTGACACGCCTCTTCCTGCTCCACCTCCCATCATGGATTCCCTTATTCCACGCTCTCTACTCATTCATTCTTTTCCCTCCCAACCAGGTGCCCCCTTGGGCGCTCGTGCTCCTCTGTCTCTCCAAGCGCATACACTCCATCTTCCTGCTGCGCCTCTCGCCCCTGATTCCCTCATTCCCCATACCTACCCAATCTGTCCTCTCTTTCTAAATCAGGTGCCCCCCTGGGCGCTCGTGCTGCTCTGTCTCTCCAAGCGCATACACTCCATCTTCCTGCTGCGCCTCTTCAACGACTGCCTCGCCATGGCCTTCCTGCACGCCTCGCTCCTCAGACTGCAATCGTCCAGATGGATCCCAGCAGTGCTCCTATTCAGGTCAGTAAATTTCAAGTGCACTTGACTGGTCGCATCAGGACTGCCTCCCCATGGCCTTTCTCCACGCCTCCCTTCTCAGACTGCAGTCGTCCAGATGGATTCCAGCAGCGCTCCTATTCAGGTCAGCAGACACGATTCGTTTGTTACGAATCATCAAAGTCCACTCCGTCTCTTCAACGACTGCCTCATCATGGCCTGCCTTCGCGCCTCCCTCCCTCCATCCTCCTTTCTTTAAATGCACATGTGCAGTGCAGGCGTGTCAGTCAAGATGAACGTGCTCCTCTTCCTCCCTCCTCTTCTTCTTCTCTCTCCCCTTAATCTTCCCTCCATCCCTCCCTCCACACGGCTACATCCATGTGCATGTGCATGTGCATGTGCACGAGTGCAGTGCAGGCGTGTCTGTCAAGATGAACGTGCTTCTCTTCCTCCCTCCTCTTCTTCTTCTCTCTCCCCTTAATCTTCCCTCCATCCCTCCCTCCACACGGCTACATCCATGTGCATGTGCATGTGCATGTGCATGTGCACGAGTGCAGTGCAGGCGTGTCTGTCAAGATGAACGTGCTTCTCTTCCTCCCTCCTCTCCTTGTCATCATGGCAAAGGTTGCTCCCCACTCTCTTACTCCCAACCCGCTCCATCCCACCCCTAACCCACTCTATCCAGCCGCCTTTCTTCAACCTATAAACGCTAATATTTGTCATGTTTCTGGTCACCATACTCTCGGAAATCCTAAAGTATCACCCTCCTCCACCTCCCCGGTACCTCTCATGTTACTCCGGGATATCGAACCTCTTATGCTGCTCTTGGTTTTAGAATCAGGCTGTCAACATTTGTGTACTACATTCTATATCACGTAGGTTATTCGTAGGTTGGGTGTAGAACCTTATTTGGTTTGGATTCCCCCGTAATTCAACCAATCATCCAACTCACCATTGGTCATCTGATTGGATTCCCATTACATCCATTCCCTAGCCTTTCCTCAACCCAACCTTGTTTGTACTTAAGGCCTAGTCTTTCTCAATCTATCGTTTCAATCTTCCTTCTTAACACTTGAACCTTGGCTCGTTTCCACTTCGAATGTTTTCCTATCCCTCTTCTCCCCAGCTCTCTCCTCCCCTCCACCTTTCCTCACTGCTCCTTGTATTTCTCATCATTACAACCTCTGTCGCACTCAACCCTTCTGTCGCTTCAATCTCGCCCTCATTTTCGTTCTCCTCTCACGTCCCACCACACACACCAGACCCTTCCTCTGCTTCAAATAGTGGCTCTCCTTGGCGCAGCGGTCGCCTTCCAGGTACACTCTTCGCTCCTCCACGTTCGTTCAGGTGCACCTCACCTGGGGCTCCTCCTCTGGGATATGTTCGAGCGTGTGATTTTTGACAATTCTCAAAAAACACACGTTCGTTCAGGTGCACCTCACCTGTGGCTCCTCCTCTGGATTTTGGCTCGTTTTTTCAGGTGCCTCACCTCACCTCACCTCACCTCACCTCACCTCACCTCACCTCACCTCACCTCACCTCACCTCACCTCACCTCACCTAGGGCTCGTCCTCTGGATTCTGATGTCAAGTTGAACAGGTTGCTGTTGAGACGTCTCATAACTTGTCCCTCTCACATCTGTAAGGTCTAGGTTTCTTCCTCGGGACTTTGAGGTTAACATAGAGGGGTAAGGGGTTCAGTCAGTTCAGTGTTTGACATTTTCCGGCAGTAATGAATGAAAGATGTCAAGCATGCCTTGCTCGCACTCATTATGTCCGTTTTTTGAGGCGCCTCAAAAGAATGCCTTTCTCGCACTCCTTATGTCAAACACTGAACTGACTCACTCCTTATGTCCGTTTCCAACCGTCCCTTTTTGGTCCTGTGAATTCGTTGCAGGTTTTTAAAACTGCAACGTCCCTTTTTGGTCCCTTTTTGGACATTGAATTCTCTTTGTTGTTCAATGCCCATCACACCACGCATGCCCTTGACCCCTTGCTTGCCACGTGGCAGCTTCTGGTTGGCTGGCCGTTCATCAGCACCTTCCCTCAAGCCTACTTTGGCCGGGCATTCGACCTTGGACGAGTCTTCATCCACTTCTGGTACCGTCCTACGTTTTACATCCCTGTGTTTGGACTGGTGTGTTAAATGGTCATGTCCATTTACAAGTGCTTCTCTTGCCCCTCTACTTTCGACCTCGGACGAGTCTTTATCATTCACAGACGCCCTTCAACATACTTGTGTCATGTGACAGTCTTGTTGACGTGCTACTCCTTCCTGCCTCTTCCTTCTTTCCTCTACTTTTGTCCCCGGCCGGACGAGCTTTCTTGCTCTTTTCCTCTTTTCCTCACGCTTCACCTCCCAACCTTTCTGACTCAACCACTTCACTTGACCCATCAGGGCCGTGACCTTGAGGTCTGTTGCAAAGTTTACTCTTGTGTTCAAACCCTCAACTCAATCCCTCTCGCTTGCTCTCTCTCAGCCGCTTCTCTTTCTTTCCCTCCTTCCCATCAGGTCTGTCAAATTCAAGTTTGTCCCCGAGTCAATCTTGCTCTTTGCTCCCGGGTTTGTCCCCGAGTCTCCAAGCCCTTTGCGCTCTCCCTCATGGCGCTGCACCTCTCCCACATGCATAATCGCCCGTCCTTTCTTACCACACTCTCTCTTTTTTCTTCTTTTGAGACGTCTCAGAGGTCCTTTCTTACCACACTCTCTCTTTCTTCCCCCTCAACCCATCAGTTCTGTCAACTTCAGTTCGTCCCCGACTCAACCTTGCTCTCCAAGCCTTTTATTCTCTCCCTCTCTCTTTCACTTGATCTCCCCAAATGGTTAATCTCCTGCTGTTTCTGGTACCCTTGTTTCATCTCTTCCGTTCCCTCTTTTCCCATCAGGTCTGTCAACTTCAACTTCGTCCCTGAGTCAATCTTTGTCTCCAAGCCCTTTGCACTTTCCCTCTCTCTTTCACTTGCTCTCCCCCAAATGGTCAATCTCCTGCCATTTTCTGGCACACTTTCTTCTTGTCTGTTCTTACCCTCCCATCAGGTCTGTCAACTTCAAGTTTGTTCCCGAGTCGATCTTTGTGTCCAAGCCCTTTGCTCTTTCCCTCCTGGCCCTGCACCTGCTGCTGCTGCTGCTCTTTTGTCACTTCTGCTGGTGCAAGTGAGTGAAGTTAGTGAACTTCTTACCAGTGAGATGCCAATGCATGTGGAAACAGAACAGAGAGCACCTGTTGCTGCTACTACACCTGCTGCTGCTGCTGCTACTGTTTTTCTGCCACTTCTGCTACACGCTCCCCTCCATCCATCCTCACCACCCCATTGCACCTCTCCACCCCATTGCACCTCTCCAATACCTTCTATCCATCCCCTCTCCTCTCCCTCTACCTCACACCAGGTACGAGGGCGGCATGTTTCGAGTCATCATCGCTGCTCTGCTCTCCCCATTCAAACGGCTGCAGACCCGCCCATTGCATCCTGACCGTACGTTATCGTCCCATTCTGACCTTATCGCCCCATTCTGACCTTATCGTCCCATTCTGACCTTATCGCCCCATTCTGACCTTATCGCCCCATTCTGACCTTATCGCCCCATTCTGACCTTATCGCCCCATTCTGACCTTATCGCCCCATTCTGACCTTATCGCCCCATTCTGACCTTATCGCCCCATTCTGACCTTATCGCCCCATTCTGACCTTATCGTCCCATTCTGACCTTATCGTCCCATTCTGACCTTATCGCCCCATTCTGACCTTATCGTCCCATTCTGACCTTATCGCCCCATTCTGACCTTATCGTCCCATTCTGACCTTATCGCCCCATTCTGACCTTATCGTCCCATTCTGACCTTATCGTCCCATTCTGACCTTATCGTCCCATTCTGACCTTATCGCCCCATTCTGACCTTATCGTCCCATTCTGACCTTATCGCCCCATTCTGACCTTATCGTCCCATTCTGACCTTATCGCCCCATTCTGACCTTATCGCCCCATTCTGAGGTTATCGCCCCATTCTGACCTTATCGCCCCATTCTGACCTTATCGCCCCATTCTGACCTTATCGCCCCATTCTGACCTTACAATGTCATGACTTGCTGTCTTCACATATGTAGCACACCCTTATCCTATTGTATCCTACACCCACCCATATTTCCAGAGTCTTTTTCTAGTCCACTTTTGAGACACTTCAAAGCTATTTCCGATTCGTTTTTTTAATATTCTCAAAAAACTACTCCAATCCAACATCTCTGGCACATGCTTACGCTGTTGTGCACTACACCCATATTCCCCCTCCTGCAGTCAGCGCACATACCATCCTCCCCCACCTTCCTTCATATGTTTTAAACCGAAAACCCCGTCCGCTGTGCATATATCACACATACCGTCCTTCCCAGCTTCCTTTACTTTCTGCACTGAGTGTGACAATGAATTTTGCACCGCCGCCTGTAGTGCAACATTTGAGACATCTCAAAAGTGAATGTTGCACCACAACCTGTAGTGCAACATCCCTAAACCGTGCAGTGCCTTATCCATCCATCCCCCCATCATGCTGCAGATATCACATACCTGATGCTCGTTGGTAACTTCCTTGCTGCACTCCCAACGTTACTCAACTGATACAACCTACCCACCCCCCCCCCCCCCCCCCACCCCTCTGTGCTGCAGACATCACATACCTGATGCTCGTTGGTAACTTCATTGGAATATTCTGTGCTCGCAGCCTGCATTACCAGTTCTACTCCTGGTCAGTACCAAACCTGAGGTTTTTTCCGCTTCTCCCAGCCCTCATTGAACGCCTCATTGGCCTGTTCCACCTACCGTACCGTCCTCCTCCTGTGCGCCCCCTGTACGAGGCATCTCGAGGCTTCTCCTGAACCAGAGCTTTCTTCTTCGCGTGTTTTGAGACGTCTCAAAACACGCTTTCTTCTTCGCTAAACCTGCAACTTCGGCTCTACAAGCCCGCAACTGCATACACTCTTTTTCCCACTTGTCTTCCATGACTTCTCTGTTTTGGTTTTTTGCACTTCCTTTTCCACTATTCCTTTCTCCCTTTTTTTC